AAATATATTTTAATAAAAAATTTTTAATACATGTTAAAATATATTCGTGTCGGCCAATATATTGTAAATATATGGCGTATGTATAATTTTTTTTTTTCTAAATAGATTGAAAATATATTTCTCTTCCATATGGCATTTTACTCTAATTGTTTTTGACTCTTAAATTGCTGTCTCTGGCCCCAATCATATTGCTGATTTTGTCTGTGAAACATGGCAATGTGATTTTATGTCTTGTTGTGCATAACACAACCTCAATTCTGCAATGTGGGTCTGCGATTCGGAGATGTTGTGATGCATTCAGGGGCGCACTAACAACTCATGGGGCCCCCGAGCAATAGGGGATCATGGGGCCTCTGTGTCCCAGCCCACACTCAAACCACACCCAAAAAAGCCTATGAAAAAGGTACCAGGGGCATCACATGGGGCCCCCTACTGACCCCGGGCCCTAGGGCATGCCCAAGTGCTCGAATGGTCAGTCCGCCCCTGGATGCGTTCTACCCAGGGGCGGACTGACCATTTGGAAACTCGGGCACTGTCCGAGGGCCCGGGGTCAGTAGGGGGCCCCATGAGATGCCCCTGGTACCTTTTTCATAGGCTTTTTTGAGTTTGGACAAGGACACAGGGGCCCCATGATACCCCTATTGCCCGGGTGGCCCCATGAGTTGTCAGTCCGCCCCTGGTTCTACCTTGACATTTTGGTCAACTTGTGGTACTGAAGAGAAGATCAAAACAAGCTATACTCTGTGACTTGTTTTGTCCCCATTTTGGCAATGTATTTGATGTTATGGCTTTTTTTTTTTTGCCAAGTGTATACCTTACTATAGTTTTTTTGCTGTATTGTTTTTGCTGCTTCCAAAGTCTTATTATGGCTAGACGAAAAAAAAATCAGTTGTTTTTGCAAAAATTACCTACTTAAAATTTATTTTGGGTGAAAAAATTGATCATATTGGGTTGCTGCTGCTCTAGTAAGTCGACCAATTATTTAAAAGGAAGGTAAATGATTAGACTTGTAATTTATGGGATCCTCGAAAATGATGTTGCTGACGCTGTCCACGAGAGTGATAATGTTCTGTAATGACACATTCCCCAAGCATGTTCGTTAATGGAAATTCATTTTTTTAATTTTCCCCTTGAACTGTCTTACAATGGCTGCTCCCAAATGAACAATCATATTTAGTTTTTTTTTTTTTTTTTTGGTGCATGTCCCCCAGGTCATTGCCTGGCTCCTATTCCCTTTCTTTGTTAATCTCTTGATGTGTAGCTTAGAAAATGTCCATTACGGAAAATTAATGTTCAGCTCTCATTGATTTCAATGGGGTTCAGATTGTTTATCCGAACTTCGGTAAACTTTGCTAAGCCAAACTGGGTGCCTTTGGCTCACCACAGGTCACATCCAGTGCTGTTTGAATATGCCCTTGTGTCTATATATAGTATATATAAAATAAAATAATAAATATATGAAAAATATTTTTAAAAATATATATTTTTTAAATATATTCTGCAGATTTTTTTTAGCAGATAAAAAAGTAATTTTAACATATTTTTACATATATTTGTAAATGCATTCCAAAAATGTAGATTTGTATTTTTAAAGATATACAGATATACAGTATATTTAATATATATTCAAAATATATATATTTGAATAAATATTTGTCATAACTGATAAAAAAATATTTTTAATATATTTTGTAATAAAACCTCATATAGTGTGTGTGTGTGTGTGTGTATGTATATATATATATATATATATATATATACATATATATATATATATATGTGTGAATATATACAGTATATATTTTTTTTTTATATATGTGAATATATACTATATATATATATATATATATATATATATATATATATATATATATATATAATTTTATTTATTTTTTTTGTTATTTTATATTTGATTTATTCTGTTTTGTGTTTTTACACCCCGGTCACGTCAGACCCTGCTTTGAAATCGTGCGACTTACAGTGAATAACATGCCAATTTCAGATGCAATTTGAGACATCGGATACAGATATCTATGCAAATCGCACCAAAAGTAGCGCATATACTACTTTAGAAATCAGTGCGGCTCCAAGCAAGTCAGAACCGCACTGATATGATCGCTCTGATTGCGGACAATAAGCTGCAATTTGGCATGCGATTTGCATGCCAATCACATGCCAATTTGCAGCCAGTGTGACCGCGGACTTACTGTATATGTCATGTTTTATTTATCACCAATCATGTTACAAAGAGTAGTGAGTGCCATACGCTGGCCTTGATGTCCTCTGTTGACCCCGACTGGTCAAACATTAAGAAAGTTAAATTATATATAAAGTGCCCGGTCACACTGATGCGATTTGCACATTGAAATCGCACCTGAAATCGCATCTCATGAAGGTGAATGTCAGTGTCTTAACATGTGCGATTTTCTGCATCGTGATTTGTGAAGTAGTTCTCGCATGACTTTTTCTGCAGTTTATTGTGATTTCACATGCATAGAATATAGTGCAAAATCGCACTGCATATCGCAAGAAATCATTGGAAACCTTCACAAGTCGCAAAAAAAGTCTTCAGGAATGGCACCTGCAATCGTGCTGAAATTGCGTAATTTAAATCTCAGCGGTGTGCCCTTGACAAAGCTTTTTTTTTATATATATAAAGTACAGAAGAGTTATAACCGTTGTCCCTTTTTTTATTTGTCATCTGTGTCTCATTAGGGACATTCTCCCTCAGCTTCCCATCCTTTAGACTTAACAGGAAATTAGATTTTTTTTTTTTCAATAGGAGGGAAATCCTTTCTTAGAAATTGTCATGGAAACAAGTGTCCTCATTGGAAGATTTTCCTTCTATTCCAGTTCTGGTGGTAATTCAAAATGTTGGATTTACCTTCAATAACATTCCCATTGACACTGAAGATCAGGATAATTAGAGAGAGTAAATCTCCCTAAGGGGGTCACAGACAACGTATACTGACAGGGGTTCTACCCATATGGAAGGAAAATATACTTGAAATATATTTTAAAAATACTCTTCCTAAATATATTGACATATATTTGAAATACTACAATTTTGGCTGTATTCATTATATTTCAATATATATATATATATATATATATATTATATATATATATATATATATATGAAAACGGTTTTTAAAAATATTTTTTTAAATATATTCTTCAGATTTTTTTTTAACATATAAAAAAGTCATTTTAACATATCATTTTACATATAGTTGTAAATGCAATCCAAAAATGTAGATTTGTATTTTTATATTCAAATATTTTTTTGAAACTTTTTCAACACACATGTCATCACAGACCGAAAAGAAGATAAGGACTGAGCGGTATATACATTGAAATGCATCAGCAGGGAAATAAACACATATTAGAAAAAGAAAAAAACAAGTCCCCACCGTTTGGCTGGGGACGATATAACAAGGCCACGGATATATGAGAGGTATACTCAGATCCTTATGAACCTTCTATACTTGGAAGTGTGATAACCAGTGGAGGGAGGGAGGAGGGGGGGAGGGAGGGGGAAGGGAGGCACCAGTCGGATGAATTGGCAATAGTATATTATTATGTTATTATATATGTCACTTGATGGAGCACTTAGGGTTTTTTGAAGCCACCGAGACCATTGAGATCGGAATTTTTGGTATGAGAAATTGTGAGTTGCTGTTCTTTTCTCCATCTCACAATGGAGATTGAGCTCAGCAGTAAGGGTGCGAGCGAGGGGCTAGTGGTGGATTTCCATAATTTGGTGATGTTGCCTTTTGCCACTGCTAGTACGTGGATTATAACAGTACGTAAAACTGAGGGAAAGTTGTCAATTCCTATGTGTAGGAGGGCTAAAGCAGGACTTGGAATCGTCGGGATTCCAGGTATGGAGGAGATCAATTGGAATACTTTATTCCAATACGATTTGAGAGATTTACATGACCAGAGTATATGGAGGGTTGTTCCCATTTCTCCGCATTGTCTCCAGCACTTGGGCGAATGTTGAGTGTAGTATAGATTAAGTTTAATGGGCGTTAAATACCACTGATGTAAGGTTTTCATGTATGATTCCCGGGGGGAGCTACATTGGGAGGCTTTGTATATGGTATTGAAGGTTTTTGCCCAAGTGTGTGGAGACACCAGTTGAAGAAGGATTTTTTTTCCCAGTTAGTTAGGGAAGTGGTATGGATATCAAACTGAGTTTTATTTATAAGCGTGTAAAAGGTTGAGATTCCCTTCTTAGGATATTGCGTTCTGTGAACGAAAAGGTACGCAGTGGAGGGGATTGCGAGTGCTAGAGGCAAGTCTATTTTATGTATGGCGTGGGCTGTTCTTATCTACGTGAAGTTTTCATTGTCAGGAAGGTGAAATTTCTCTTGAAGATCAGTAAAGGACTTTAGTTTATGATTTGAGTATAAGTCTCAATAGATTTGTATTTTTAAAGACATACAGTATATTTGAAATGTATTTTTAAAAATATGTTTCATAACTGATAAAAAATATTTTTCATATATTTTGTAATAATTTCAACATGCAGTATGTATGTATGTATATTATATATATAATATATATATATATATATATATATATTATATATACCGTATTTTTTTCGCTCCATAAAACGCACTTTTTTCCCAAAAAAATATGGGGGAAAATGTCTCTGCGTCTTATGGAGCGAATACTGACCAGTCCTCCACCTGTCACCGCCGCCGTGTTAGTGCCAGCGGCTGTCCCATCCCACTACAGGCTGTCACCGAAGTTCACCTTGCCCTCTCTCAGCGGGCTGTCTCCGCAGTTCTTCATAGCAGGCAGTCCCCTCGCCGAACCCAGCCAGCTTGCTCTGCAGTCCGGTCCGCCCTGCAGGCGTGGCCTGTCCTCGGAGCTCGTCCCCGCACCTGGCATGTCTATGTACTGAGCTCCCAGCTCTGCAGTCCGGTCTGCGGGTGTGGCCTGTCCTTACAGCGCCTCCCCTTTCCTGGCATGTGTCCATAGTGTGCTTCCTGCTCTACAGTCCGGTCCTATCTGCTGGTGTGTGGCCTGTCCTCAGAGCTCAGTGCGCCCCCTGCCTTCTGTAAGTTAAAATGACAGATGCTGGGAGTTGTAGTCCTTTTCCTTGGAGTATGGTGTCAGATCATTTGATATTCTGGGTGGAGGGGCCCTGTTGGGACTTTATATGATGTAGTGTGTCCGCAGTCTCTGGTCATCTCCTGTACTGTGTCCGCAGTCTCTGGTCATCCCCTGTACTGTGTCCGCAGTCTCTGGTCATCTCCTGTACTATGTCTGCAGTCTCTGGTCATCTCCTGTACTATGTCCGCAGTCTCTGGTCATCTCCTGTACTATGTCCGCAGTCTCTGGTCATCTCCTGTACTATGTCCGCAGTCTCTGGTCATCTCCTGTACTGTGTCTGCAGTCTCTGGTCATCCCCTGTACTATGTCCGCAGTCTCTGGTCATCTCCTGTACTATGTCTGCAGTCTCTGGTCATCTCCTGTACTATGTCCGCAGTCTCTGGTCATCTCCTGTACTGTGTCCGCAGTCTCTGGTCATCCCCTGTACTGTGTCCGCAGTCTCTGGTCATTTCCTGTACTGTCCGCAGTCTCTGGTCATACCCTGTACTGTGTCCGCAGTCTCTGGTCATCCCCTGTACTGTGTCTTCAGTCTCTGGTCATTTTCTGTACTGTGTCTGCAGTCCATTGGTTCAGAATATTTTTTTCCCCAGTTTTCTGCATCTAAAACCTAGGTGCGTCTTATGGTCAGGTGCGTCTTATGGAGCGAAAAATACGGTATATATTTTAATTTTTTTAAAATATATTTTGAAATATATTGAATATGGACAAAATTGTAGTATTTCAAATATTTTCAAATATATTTCAAATATAAGTCAATATATTTGGGAAGAATATTTTTTAAATATATTTCAAATATATTTTTCTTCCATATGGGTGACCCCTCATCACTACATCCAAATCTAGCAAAGCGCAATTCCTGTATACTGTATACTATGAGCAGCAAATGTGCAAATAGGTCAACATTACTATCATTGCAAGTAGGGCAAAGCAAAAGAGTACTGCAATAGTTGAGGTCTGCAATGCACGGGATGGAAATTTCCCTCATTACAAATATATAAATGTTTATTAAATATTGTTCAATCTGAATGTAAATAAATAAAGCAACTGCTATTTTTGTATATTGTGTTTCTATTTTTTTCTCATTAAAGGGGAACTGCACAGCATCTGAGCTCTGCAAACCAGACATGCTATTTACTTCATTTTTAAAGTGTTACTAAACCTCCAACAGTACAATCAGTCTGTAGATGCAGTAAACATGCTTGTTATACTCACTGTGGGACCTAAGGGGTTAATCATCCGCACTGTGTAAAAAGGCAATTTTGGTCAGGGTTCTGCATCCTCCTAGAGCAGAAAGAAAACTCCTCCTACAAGCTTTAACCAGCTGTACACTGATAGAAGTCATAAGACTGCTATTTACTTCAGTACTGTCGGAGACCATATATAGTGAAGGCAGAGTCCGGGGAGAGCGGATATAGTGGATGCGGGGTCTGGGAAGACCGGATATAGTGAATATGGGGTCCGGGGAGAGCGGATATAGTGGATGCGGGGTCTGGGAAGACCGGATATAGTGAATGTGGGGTCCGGGGAGACCGGATATAGTGAATGCAGGGTCTGGGAAGACCGGATATAGTGAGTGTGGGGTCCGGGGAGACCAGATATAGTGAATGCAGGGTCCGGGGAGAGCGGATATAGTGAATGCGGGGTCCGGGGAGAGCGGATATAGTGAATGCGGGGTCCGGGGAGAGCGGATATAGTGAATGCGGGGTCCGGGGAGAGAGGATATAGTGAATGCGGGGTCCGGGGAGAGCGGATAAAGTGAATGCAGGGTCTGGGGAGAGCGGATACAGTGAATGCAGGGTCTGGGGAGAGCAGATATAGTAAGTGTGGGGTCCGGGGAGAGCGGATATAGTAAGTGCGGGGCCTGGGGAGAGCGGATATAGTGAATGCGGGGTCCGGAGAGAGTGGATATAGTGAATGCAGGGTCCGGGGAGAGTGGATATAGTGAATGCAGGGTCCAGGGAGACCAGATATAGTGAATGAGGAGTCCGGAGAGAGTGGATATAGTGAATGCGGGGTCCGGGGAGAGTGGATATAGTGAATGTAGGGTCCGGGGAGAGAGCGGATACAGTGAATGGGGGAGAGCGGATACAGTGAATGCGGGGTCCGGGGAGAGCGGATACAGTGAATGCGGGGTCCGGGGAGAGCGGATATAGTGAATGCGGGGTCCGGGGAGAGCAGATATAGTGAATGCGGGGTCCGGGGAGACCAGATATAGTGAATGCAGGGTGCGGGGAGACCAGATATAGTGAATGCAGTTCCCGGGCAGACCAGATATAGTGAATGCAGTTCCCGGGTTTCATAACACTTTAATACAAATACAAATTTATTTAGCAGTTTGCCTGGAATTATGCTTTACAATTAAGAAAATTATATGCCAAGCTCAAATATATATAATGCACAAATAAATCTATAGGCAAATAAATAATAAGTACACCCGGACCCAAGCTGTAGGTGCAAAAAATCACATTGCAATGAACTAACAGTTTAGGTGCTCCGTAAATCCCTTGATGCTGTAAATGACAACTTGATCCTTGATTGGTTCTTAACATTTTCAATCATTTAAAAAAATGCCCTTGGCTGACAGAAGGCATGTTTACGTGGCGGAAGCAGCATAGTCCCTACAGAAGGGTCCAGTCAGGTGCGGGATGCATTGTGCACTCACTGTAAAAGTCACACTGCCATGGACAAAGTAACAAATGTGGTTCTTCAATCCACTGGTGACTGGTTTTTGACATGCCCCAAGCAGGTCGTCATCATACTTATTATCCTCATCCCAAACCTCCACCTTCAAGCTAGACAGCAAACTGAGTTCCACAATTTCGAGGTCAAACCGTGTATTCCAGGTCGGATTATTATTGTTCCATATGGTGTACGTCTGAAGAGAAATTGTTCCAACACTTATTTTGACATAGGCATCAGTGCTTGAAGCGTAGTCACCCCAGAGGTCAAAAGCACGCTGTACAGTGACCACCACTTTGGCAAGTCCCCTTTTGGAGGGGCAACAGTTTATATTTCTGCTTTGATTAGCTGGGCAAATGCAGTTGCACTCTCTACCGGGGCTCTGGTGTGAATCCGAAGGGCACGAGCAGTTCTTACTTAGCGCCGTCTCCCGGATATAATCACTGATGGCTTTCCGTAGGTTTTCTCTCTGAGGTCCTATGATTCCAACCAGGTTGTGGATGGGCGCCAGAGAGTAGGTTACGACATCAGGGTTAGTCTTTAGGCTCTCCATCCAGGTATCGAAGGAGGCTGTGCCTTTCCCATTCTTTAGGTCAAAGGTGAGCTGCTCAAATGTCATGTGTCCTCCTCTTACCTAGAATTAATGATGGAAAAAAAATCAGTAAAATAAATCAATATGCAGGACTAGGTTTATTAACCTCCCTGACGGTATTCCCGAGTGTAGCTCGGGGTAACATTTCAGTACCAAAAGCGGTAACCCCGAGCTACACTCGGGCTTACCCTGAGGCACTGCTCCGGCATGTGTTCTTCACTTACCTTACCCTGCGCTCCCACGATGTGTCCCCTGCAGCGTCCCCGGCCATCTCCTCCGGCCGATGCCGGCATCCGGCTTCTGTGTCCTGTCCCTGTGACGTCGGGACGTACGGGCGCCGCCGCCGGCGGGAAATTTAAAAATTTTAAAAAATGTCATTTTTTTTTTTTTTTTACATTTTACACAGTAAAACATTGCTGTCTCAACCAATTTCACATACATATTGTCCCGAGTGCTTTGTCCGGCGCCCTGCCTGCATTTTGTCTGTTCTTTCTGTCTGGAAACTGAGAAATGTCCATGGCGTCCAAAAAGTGTCCCTTTAGGTCAAAAGCGGTTTAGATCAGCTAGAGAACAGCGATCGTAAATCAGAACCACTTGCAGAATTGAGTGATAATGATTTGTGGGGGAAATTCATCATCAGAAACTGAAAACGATTTTGCGACTGAGCTCAGCAATGTGCGAACTTGGCGCTCTATTTCACATTTCAGTGTTTTTGGTTTGATTATATTATTGAATTAAATTTTTTATTATTTTTATATTATTTTTATGATTATTTATTAAATTATAATTTATGATTTTGTGTTTCAAATTTTATCATACCCGGGATGTTTACTAGACTCTTGTTCGGACAGATTTCAGTGAGTTTTTCCTAAAAATTACAGCCTACAATAAAAAAAATACATATTTCCATGCAAAAAAATGGTACCGCTTTCAGCACCAAAAATCTGAAATAATCATACCGCCAGGGAGGTTAAAGTGGTACGAAATCCAAAAGCAAATATTAAATTGCAGCTTACCCATCCTTAGATGTGATGGCTGCATTAGATTTCTTTTTAGGCTTTTTTTCCCCCCTCTATTATCACCTGGCGATCTGGCCAGTAAGTCTGTTGTTTTTCAAAGGAGCAAGCTCTCCTGCAGATGTATCAGTTGCAGGGATGATACAAACCATTTAACCCCCCTGGCGGTATTCCTGAGTGTAGCTCTGGGTAAAGTTTCAGCACCACAAGCGGTAACCCTGAGCTACACTCGGGAATACACTGCAGCGCTGCTCCGGGATCCCTTCTGAACTTACCTTGTCCTGCGCTCCCGTGATGTCCCCCCTGCAGTGTCCCCGACCATGTCCTCCGGCCGATGCCGGCATCTGTCTTCTGGGTTCCGTTCCCTGCAATGTCAGTACGTACGGGACGTACGGGGGACGGAATTGGCGGGAAATGTAAAAATGTCAAAAAGTGACATTCACTAAATACACTAAAATCACATAGTATAAACATTCCTGTATCAAACCATTTCACATACATTTTGTCCCGAGTGCTTTGTCCGGCGCCCTGCCTGCATTTTTACTGTTCTTTCTGCCTGGAAACTTAGAAAAGTCCATGGCGTCCAAAAAGCGTCCCTTTAGGTCAGACGCGGTTTTAGACCGGCTAGAGAACAGCGATAGTAAATCAGAACCACTTGCAGAATTGAGTGATAATGATTCGTGGAGGAAATTCCTCATCAGACACTGAAAACGATTCTGCGACTGAGCTCAGCGATGTGCCAACTTGGCGCTCTATTTCACATTTCAGTGTTTTTGGTTTGATTATATTATTGAATTACATTTATTATTATTATATTATTATTTTTTATGATTATTTATTATATTATAATTTATGATTTCGTGTTTCAAGTTTTATCCTCCCCGGGATGTTTACTAGACTCTTGTTCGGACAGATTTCAGAGAGTTATTCCTAAAAATTACAGGCCTACAATAAAAAACCGACATATTTCCATGCAAAAAAATGTACCGCTTTGAGCACAGAAATACTGACATAATCAGACCGCTAGGGAGGTTAACACTGACAGGGCTGTATACAGTGATCGCCTTTTATTGATACACTGTATGTAAAGCCTGTATCTCAAAGCAAAGCAACTGTTTGCTGTAACTGCTTACAAGGCCTCATACACCCTGGATGCCAGTAGTGCTGCCGTATTAAAAACAAGTTTTGCAGCGTTTTGCCGCTTTTTTTCATTATCATGTTTTACCGCTTTGCCGCTTTAGTGGTTTTTAGCAAGAAAACGCCTCTCTGCTATTTTTAACTCCCACTTTCCCACAATGTATCTTTGAATAGTC